CAAGGATGACACAGTGTATGCCTTGTGTTCAATATAGACATAGGGGCAAAAGGGTAATTGTACAAACATATATTATCACGAAAAAGGTTTTGTCAGATCACATGACATTTTCGTGACTTGGGTAGCAGTGATGTGTTGCTAGATACCGCTTACTGTTTATTATGTTAAATATATAATTTAATATAATTACCAACGTTACGAAATCCTACAGGGTCACACACATAAGGACAGTTTGATGAGAGATAGAGAAATCAAAGGAACACCGTAAGGTACGGTGCACTTAAGTGAAAAAATAGAAATTCGGATAATATAATAATAATTATTGTTATTTTATAATGGTTATAAAATAATAATAAAATAAATATATTTATTATAATAATAGTTATTATAATAATATATAATATTATTATGGATCATGTGAATTGGGTTTTTAGCCCGCAGCCCACAAGAGAGTCTATAAAAGGAACCCTTGTGATGAAGTTTTCACTTGATGCAATTTCATTTTTGATTCTCTTTTCTCACTCAAATAATTCCGTTCGTAAGCAGCTAGCACTGTGACCGGGAGCTGTTCGTGTGGACTGAGTAGAGGCGTTGCACTTCATCAACGCTTGTGATCGCTGCATCAAAGATCTGAATCGCCACAAAGAGGTAACGATTCTATCACTGACCATGCTCATTCGTAAGGATCACTAAAGGAAATTTTTGTTTTCCGCTGCGTTTAGATCGCAATTTTCCATCAGAATTCAACCTATCATGAGCGAACCAAGCACATTGATGTGAGCCTGCATTTCATCAAAGGGGTAATCGAGCGTGGAGAAGTCCAAATGCTGAAGGTTTTGACAGATCATAACGCTGCTGATATGATCACCAAGACATTGCCCAATTGCAAGTTTTTCCACTGTATGCAGTTGATAAAGCTGCATGAAGAAAGCTAGTTTCTTGGTGTTATAGAGTTAGATCCAAGGTGGAGATTTGTGAGATATTGGATCGAACTCTAGTATGGTCGAAGTCTGTTCGTGAGTAATGCGTGTTGTAGTTGAAGTTTGTTCTATCATGCATTAGTCAATATTGTTAGGGTTATTAGCATGTTGAATTGGGCCTTACTCTTAAGCCCAATTGTTTAAGTTGACTTGTACCCTAAGTTAGTTTGTAATGAGTAATTGTTAAAAAGCCCATTAGGTTAGTGTGTTATCTTTCTTATAAATAACATGCTAGTCTCTCAACTTGCATAAGGAAAAATAGGAAGATAAAATCCTAATTCAAGAGAGAGAGGTTATTTGTTATTCTTGTATACTTGTTATCTTGTTTGATAAAGAAAGAAAAGAATAACAATTTATAACCAATCCTTGTTGTTTTTCCCTTATTTTCTTTGTTAACCCTAACCCTTGTGTGTTTCTTGTCTATAAAGAAACCGTTTATATTCTATTTCAAGGCATCCTATTTACAACAATTAGCCTACGATTATATGTTCTTCACATAATCTTGAAATATTTATCACTCTTTAGCTCAATATGGTCGTATTTTACCCTTCCATCAATATCATTCTATGGGGCACATAACTCTTTCTTAGTCACCTTTCTGTTCTCAGTGTAGGAAAACATATTAATCAATTTGGATCTCATAAGAGTGTGACATGTGATGTCCTCTGGGAGCCCAAAATCAACTGAAGGTTTCACCTCATTGAGGTACACACATGTCATAAATGAATAATAAGACATTGTAATTTGTTCTTTTTAACAACAAGGGATCTCTATTTATAAAATTTTGAATTCATTATGGACTACACGCAAATGTTTGTGCAATCATTATCGTACAAAACTGTCGGTAAAATCTCAATCGTTGAAATTACACTATCGAATATGTTGTAGTTCTTAAAATCCGATAAATGCAGAGGTTTTTAAAAACAAAATCGATGATTTTACACTATCAGAGTTTTCAAGGTTTTGCAAAAAAAAATCTGGTACAACATGGTGTTTTTAAGAAATTGATAAGTTTTTCCACACATCGATTTTTTTTTAAAACTAATATAAATGCATATCCGACTTTTAACATACACTACTAAATTTCAATCATTGTCGTACAAAACTGTCGGTAAAATCTCAATCGTTGAAATTACACTATCGAATATGTTGTAGTTCTTAAAATCCGATAAAGGCAGAGGTTTTTAAAAACAAAATCGATGATTTTACACTATCAGAGTTTTCAAGGTTTTGCAAAAAAAAAAAACTGGTACAACATGGTGTTTTTAAGAAATTGATAAGTTTTTCCACACATCGATTTTTTTTAAAAAAATAATATAAATGCATATCCGACTTTTGACATACACTACTAAATTTTTTTATTTATAAAAAAATTATATCTTCTACCGAATTTATTCGTGCACACTCTTTATTAAAATTTTATCAAAATTTATATAGGTATTATTAAAAATTGGGTGCCAGATTAAAGTTGATTGTGGAAGAAAATTTTCTCCAAGAATAAGAGTGATTAGCCTAAGGCCCATACCATTTTTTAAAAAAATACTTTAAGTCAAATATATGATGTGGGTATTTAAATTAGATGTTCTAAATAAGTTAATCTTTTATGATTTTTTATATAACAAGTTAATTCATTAGTTAGTGAAAGTGTTTTTCATTTAATATTTAAATAATTTATGTTAAAATATTGATATGTTTGTTATTTATACGATGTGATTTAAAAAAATGTGTTTAACCATTCTAAATATATATTCATAAATTTTTATGACGGGTCTCTGGAAAAAAAGATTGTGTATTAAGATCTTAATTTATTATTAAATTTTAACTGGATTTATATGCTTAATAAGTATAAAATAAGATTTAATATTTATACATACACCATAATTTATTTTAAGTGAATTAACTATGTAAAATTAATTTTCAATGATTTGAAGGTAAAATAATTTATTTTTTAATTTTATTTTGCAAAAGTAAATTAAATAATAAATTTTAATATAAAAATCATGTTTAGGCTCAAAACCAATAAATTGTATCTTAAAATGATCAATTTTAAAAAGTATAATCAATTTTATTTAAAAATATTAATCATGTCTTGATATAAAAGCAATCATATATCTTCAAACATTAAACCAAAAACACTTATAGCATGTTTGAATTGACTTTTGAAAGATCTATAATCAATTTTAGAGGGGTAGAATTGATTCTGGGTGATTTTGAAACATTTGTTTTTATCAAAAATAGAATTGATTCTACTTGAAGTTATAATTTGTAACCCTACCTCCAGAATTGATTCGGAGTAATTTTTATTAAAATTTATTGTTTAACTCACTTTTACATAAATATATCCAAATATAAATCAATTATATTAAATTCAAGTAAAATTTATTTGTAGTTTCAAGTAGAATTAATTCTAGAGGTAGAATCAATTCTCCTTTTGATAAAACAAACACTCCAAAATTATTTGGAATCAATTTTACACTTCTAAAATTAATTATGAATCTTCCAAAAATCAATTCAAAGATGCTACTGATTAAAGAAAGACTAATATTTACAAAAGTATATTTTAAAAAACAACCTTATTAAAAATATCTAGCTTAAACAACGTGATAATGTATTTCATCTATTTGATTACAGATGGAGTAAGTATAAGTTCATGAATTAACTCAAGTTAAAAATAAACAACCTCATAAAAACAGACCCCAACTCCAAAAATCTATTTACAAATTGAAAGTAAAATTCTAATTCACCACCAAATTTCTTGATTTATAATTATACCAATACGAAATGTTATAGAACCATAGAAGAATTGAAAGCATATACATATCATAGTTTGGCGGATTTCTTTTGTCTTAACGGCCACCTTCGGCCCAAACGGATATTGACTTGTTTTTTACTTTTTGAGCACCCGGCTCAAACGGATATTGACTTTGTTTTTTATTTTTTGAATTTTATCTATGCACTTTGAATTTTGAACGGAACCGGTGGAGAAGAAAAAAAGAAGAGTTAACTGATGAAAAATAAAGAGAGAAGGAGAGGAATCGTGGAACATATTATTATATTTAATCAATAAATGCATAATAATATACAATAAATAATTGAGATAAAAGAAGATTGAAAAGTCAAAAGTGATTTTTCAAACGGAATATTCATTAGTATATCACATAAAATATTTTCTCCATTTTAAAATGATCGTCGTTTAAAGTTTTTACATAGATTAAAGAATTCAATGATATTCTCATAAAATATTGCAGTTTTATTAAATTAGTTTATTAATATATGAGAAGTAGTGTACTGAGTAATAATTATATGACACAATTAAAAAAATAGTAATTTTACATAGATTAAAGAATTCAATGATATTCTCATACAATATTGCAATTTTATTAAATTAGTTTATTAATATATGAGAAGTAATGTACTGAGTAATAATTATATGACACAATTATAAAATAGCAATTATTACTTCATTGAAAATTGAAAACAGTCATTTTAAAACAATAATTATATGACACAATTATAAAATAGCAATTATTACTTCATTGAAAATTGAAAACAATCATTTTAAAACAAATTTTCTTCTAAAACGACTGTTATTTTAAAAAAGAGAGAATAAATTACAGTTGTTAAAAAATATAATAATAATATAATATTTTGAAAAAATTAAATAATAACAATAATAGAAATAATAATAAATTTTCACATTTTTATATATAGAAATTTTTTTATATAATTATTCATATAATTATCCCGCTATTCCATTTTTAGAGTTTACTTCAACTAGAATTAATAACTCTGATACGAGTATTTATAAGATATGAAACACTAACCTAGAGACATTGGTGTTGGTGATAATTTGAGAGAATAAATAAATCAAACGTAATCACAAATGTCAAAAATTCGGCTGCTGACACTCACAGACACAGACACACTAGACATTTTTTTAAGAGGTGTTGTGCTAGAGGTTGTGGTGTATATAAATGATCAAATAAGTATACATGAGCATATAATATTCCAATTTTGATGTTATTTATTTTCAAAATAATCATCAGGTAAACGTGACACAATGTGAACTTTGGTAGCATTATAACAATTATTTGAATCCCATTTAAGAGCTTTTTGAGAGCTTCCACTTTTAATGCTTTCAAGAGTATTCAACACCTCACTCATGGAAGGTCTCATATCTCTTTGAAGGTGTAAACAGCCAAAAGCCAATTCTGCCACCGCACTTACCGTTTCACTTACCCAATTGTCTGATTGAAATCCAAGATTCGGATCGACAAGCTTCCCGAGTTGTCCTTTAAGAATGTGATCCATAGCAAAATCTGAAAGAAAAGGCTGTTTTTCATCCTCGTTATATGCAGGCAAAGATGATATTAACTCGACCAATATCACTCCGAAGCTGTACACGTCACTTTTATCCGATAGATGACAATGTTCATAATACTCGGGATCAATATAACCCGGAGTTCCAGCAGGATCGGTTGTAACGTGAGTAGCCCCGTACGGGACAATTCGTGACAACCCAAAGTCCGCAACTTTAGCATTCAAACTTTCGTCAAGTAGAATATTACTGGTTTTCACGTCGCGGTGAATAATATTGCAAGCATGAAGATAAGCCAATGCACTTGAAGTTTGTAATGCAACATTTAATCGAGTAGACCATGGGAAGGTGTCTTTATGAAGACGACGAGCCACAGTTCCATTGGGAACATATTCTTGCACGAGAAGTAGTTCTTGGGTTTGAGGAGAGGTGCAGCCATAGAGTTGGACAAGATTTTCATGCCTCATGCGAGTTAACATAGAAACTTCATTTATGAACTTTCTTAGTGTCTCCTCCTCAAGCTTCTTATCATGTAACTTTAAGATCTTGAACTTGTCTTTGTGTAAGCGCTTGACTGCAACAAGTTGCCCGTCTTTAAGTGTTCCTATGATAATAACAAAATTGAGTAAGTATAAAAATCCATCATCAAATTTTAATTTTCTTATTCTATATAAGATGCGAAAAATAATAGAGGGAGTCTTCATTACTAATTTAAAGTATAGATTACATATTCAAGATAACAACAAATACGTTTAATGGAGATACACTGCCAATATAAAATAGTTTTGAACTGACAACAACCAAGGCTTATCCCACCGGATAGGTGTTCCTTTTGAATGAGCTCAGTGGCTTAGTTGGCAAGACAGTTCGGTGTATGTTCCTACTGACTATGGGTTTGAATCCTACTTGAACCATTTTATTATGTAAAATTCTGCCTATGTTAGCTTTGCTATGCATTGCCGGTTCCAAGCCCGCATAAAAGGAGAGGATCGTGTTAGGCGATCAACAGACAACGTAAAACTTTGTCGAATCTCTATAACATGGATTATTGTATAATAAGACAGTGCATTAAGCAGTTTATCTAAATGCAAATAAGCCTATATCACTATAAAACAGAACCTAACTATAAACTTAGAAATTGAAATCATGGTATGATTTTACCAGAGTAAACTGTGCCATAGCCTCCACTGCCAAGTATTCTACTAGCATCAAAGTTATTGGTAGCTTTTTCAAGTTCAGAATACTTGTAGATCTCACAGTCACTAATGCTACATTGGTTGTTTTGCAGCTCGGAATCAATTAACAATGACTGACCACCATGACTACTTGGTAACTCAGAAACCACATTTACAGAAACTGATTTCTTACGTCTGCCTGAAACCTTAGAATCCACAGACACCATCTCATCATTGCTAACCGGCTTCTCAGAACTCACTGCCACCAAATTGCTACCCTTCTCAAAATCTCTTGTTAGTGAAGTGCTGTTTTTCTTTTCAGTTCCATCAGTGGAAAAACAGTGACATAAAAAAGAAAAAACCGGCATCACTGATGCCAGAATCTAATGAATTGCGTATCCGAATTTGTATCATAAACCAAAGCGAATTGCGAACCGTGTGACTATGTGTCAGATCAAAGAAAATAACGGTTTGTTCAAATTGTGTTATACTATGGTGCTATATTTAGAAATTTTTGACCTAGAATGTTTATAATCCATAATTACAGAGAAAATCCCTTTATACAAACCCTAAATTTATAGAAAACACTCACTCCTCCAATAACCATTACACAGAAATTGAATCAAAAATTGATCTAAGAATTGTGACAGTGATAGAAACAATTTCAAGATTGTGGAGCTAAATTACTTCAAAGTAACCTAAAATGGTAGAATTTACACAGTATTACAATTGTGTGGTTTTCAAAGAAAATTAAAACTTTTAGGATCAAGAGAAAAGGTTCTAATATGGAAGATCTGTTATAGAAAGTGAAAATAAAAAACAATTGCAGCAAAAGGAGAGAGAATAATATACTAACAAATAATATAATCAATCACCTGAAGGAAGAAGAAGAAAGGTTGTAGCAAGAGAAATAAAAATGATTGAATTACAATTTTAACAATTGAATACGTGTTTTAATTCATATTTTATTGAAAAATACGCGTCTTAATTCTTGAAAAAATGATTAAGATATATTTCCAAGAAATAAAATTACGGAGTAAAATGATAAGCAAACTTTTTTCGATAATATATAATATACTATCAATCCTTAAAAAAATTGCAACCAATTAATTCTTGCAAGTTTTTTAAATTACACTATTATTTGGATAAATAAGTAATTAATAAATATTTGAAATAAATCTAATTCAAAACTTTAATTTCATGCCAAGTGTCCATCAATCATTAACTACCTCAAGTGTCCATTAGTCCTTTTAAATAAAAACTAATAGAAGACCGTGCCTCCGCACGGATATTCAAAAATATATTTAAATTTTTATAATTTTTTATTTTTTTAATATTGTAATTTATCAATTATGTTAATATATAATATATTTTTAAATTATTAACATATTATTATTAACATAAAAAATTTTATTAAAAAATTGTTGAAATAAATTCCTTATTAACCATATAGATTTGTAGATATAACATAGTTTATTAACAAATTTTAATATAATTTAAATAAAATATAATAATATATTGGAGCAATACATACACAATCATGATTCATGATAAGTAATAACATTTTAAATTAAAAATAAAATATAATAAAATTTTTTTTAGGTATAACATTTTTAAAAATATTAAACACTATAAAAAAACACTGCATTTTTATCTCTCCAATAATGTATTGCTTGTTTTAAAGATACATTTTTGACAATACTCAACATGTATATTGCTTGTTTTATAAATAATAATTTAATTATTTAATTTTACATAAAATTAGTATTTCATAATTTAAAAAGTGGTATGGGAAAAAATGACATATTTAACTATTTATGAATGTCTTGGCAACTAATTTTTGAAATAACCAAGTAAGGCACAACAGAACCATATACAAAATTGAGGAAAATAAAAATGGGCAAGAATATCACTCACTAATTGATTTGGATATGTAAGAAACAACAATTGTTACGTCATCAAAGTTACTGCCATAAAACTGGTATCCATCAATGAGAGCAGCAGTTGAAAACAACGAGTACGTCTTCTTGTCAAGTGCTCGCTCTTGAGTCAATGTTGATATCTTTTGAGCAGTTACTTGTTGTTATAATCTATCCCTAATTGAACTTACAACAACACTAACAATATGATTATCGTACAGGTTATCAAAAACACCCCTTAAAACAAACACATGCATGAAAATAGAGTAGAACTTACAGAACTAAATGAACAATTGTCAAAAACTTACTATTATGAGTGAGTTGTTGTCCATTATCGACCTGTTCCCACCATGTTAATCTGTTGTAGATTCCATGATTATCCGTAAACAATGCTCCTTTCTTCTAGTGGAAAAGTGATATCTTACCTACTGGACACAACATAATCAATCAACCCATGTAAAGAGATCAAATTATTATAACACTCATAAACAGTAACTGACAATAAAATATATTAATTTATAGCTTGATCCAATCAAACAAAGGATAAGCAAGTACATACATTTAGAACATTGCAAGGAAGAGGGAACATCCTGACAACTGATGGGTCAGCCTACGAACCAGGCTTTTAGAAACTGCATTAACTATGTTTTTTTCCATTTTAATTTACTTATGAATTTTTTTAATCAAATGTTGTTATAGCCATCTTGATGATGGAACACCAAATGGAAAACCAACCTCAATACTTAAGCATGACGCAACGCTATGTGATTCAATAAAAACATCATTCCAATAAAAAAGGGAAACAAAGCTCTAGTTAAAATGTTACCTCATGAAAGCAATTTGTGGACTAAGCTTTGAAAGCTTAACAAAGTCTTCATCTTAAAGGAAAACTTTGCATCCGACTTTCCACCTTCATATGACCCTATATACAGACACAGACCAAAATAGTCATACTTGATGGCATGGCATTGTAAGAGAAACCAATCATTAAAATTAGCCAAGTTAAATATAATGGTAGAAATCAATAATTCAAAGCAAAATTGTAACGATGGCTGATTAGCCTCCAACTACCTAGGCAACAATCTATAATATGAAAAAAAAATTGAAAGCATTTAATCATAGAAGATATGACCGTGACCATACAGTAGAAAATGAGATCAGATAAAGAAGAAAACATCAAATGACTGGTCTATCTTTAGGATTCAGGTTAAGTGCAGTATTTGATTCACTAACTTGCAGGTTTAAAATATTTAAGAAGCATGTGCAAGTACTTAAATCTACCATTTATAATCCATATAGTGATACTCACTTATCGATAAACTATTTGTACTTTGGATTTACTCCCACTAAATTGATTCAATAAACTACCTAGTGAACAACTGTGTCTACACGCCTAAGAACAACCATATCTCCAGTTAGGACAAGAACGCCCATCTGAATCATTGCTTCAAGGATCTGCATAAGTGCATAAGCTTCATTTGATAATAAACTTAGATTGAAAAAAAATGGAAATTCATGCTAGAGTATTCATGACAATATGAGACTCTTTTCATAAGCTCCAAAAATATTTACCTTATCTAGATTCTTTTCATAAACTCCATAAAAAGCTTTGAGTAAACCTTCTCTAATATTTTGAATGATACTGTAAGATGCAACACAATCACAGTTGTAATAAAAATCATCTCACTAATCTTAAAATGGCCGACCTCTAAATCTATATTTCAATTACACAAAAGACATAAAGCACATACCTTCCCATCATACCAAATCATAAAAGATCAATATTCCATCATTGACATCATTAACTGCAATATTTCTTGGATGTTGCCTGGACAATGTATATATTATTTGGATAAGAAGAATCCAGATCATTGACACTCCCAACATGAGCCTCAATATGAGTTACAAAAACTAAATAAGCAGCCATATATCACAAACATAAATGAAAAGCAGGAATTCAAATAATAGATGAATAATGATCTCGAAGAACATCTATTAACTTTAGACACAACAAACTTCTAGGTGGTTTCTCAAATCGTCCCCGTCATGATTGGAATATATGTGGACAACATGTTTAGAATAAGGAACACCTGAAGTATCAATAAGGATAAAGCAAATTTTAGAACTTGTAAAAGGAAAGAATAAAAGGTTCTAACAATTGAACTATGAGAGGATAACCATAGTGTTAACAGAACATACCTATACAAAATAGAAAATTTGAAGGTGAGAAAAACACTTAGAAGGGGAGGGTTGAATAAGGGTTTTAAAAAAATTTGGATGATAGAAAAATAACACAGTATTTTTATCCTGGTTCGTTTGAACTCAAACTAATCCAGTCCATCCTACCAAGGTGATTTGCCTTTCTCAACAAGGACTTAATCCACTATATCAAACTTGATTACAGTGTAAACCACTAAGACAACTGTCTTAGTCTTCTCAAGAAATTATGACCACAACTTGGTCTTCTTAAGGAAATCTTTTACAAAGATAAACTAACAATTTTGTGTTTAAGAAATGCTTCTAAAAAGCTATATCACAACAGTGATTTTTACAAAAGTTTTAGAACAAAAATGAAAACTATTCTAGCTTGAAGAATATTTGTTAGAACACAGATTGGTTCTTAATAATATCTCTATGTTTTGATGATAACTATTATGAAATTTTGTAATTAAGAATTATATACTCTAAAATTTGCTTGAGAGTTTTTACTGCAGATAGTAAAGGAATTAACACTCCAGAAGCAAATCAGAATTGAACATAAGAAATTTGCTAGACTCTGAAGCGCCAGATGCATCCATTAGAAGATTCTGATTGCTGCCAACAGAAGATCCTGAGCGTAGCCTCCAGAAGATTCTGAAGCAAAAGCTCCAGAAGGTTCTGAAGTAGAAGCTCCAGAAGGATCTGAAGCTGAAGCTCCAGAAGAATCTGAAGCAAGTCAGAAGCATCTGAACCAAAGAAGAATTATGTATGAAGAGTTTTCAAAGCATAGTTGCTACAGAAGATTCTGAAAGTACTAAAGCTGCCAGTACTGAAGATCTGTCTCAAATATGCTCTGATCTTAAACACGCTAATAGCACACCTGCTGCAGAAGACTCTGACTCAGCAAAACTCTGATCAACATCAGAAAGCTATGATTAATTTAGACTCTGATGGAACTTGCTGAAAATTGAAGAAGAATTATTCAAAGATTATATCCGTTGGAATGATCCAAACGACTCTTTCCTTATTTATGCTAGACACAAGAACACAGACAAAAAGGATTTATTTGTGCTTTCTTCTTCTAGGAAAGGTCACTTGATGTGAAGACAAAAAGGCTCAGACCTTTTGGACACTCTTCTCAACGTGAAGCTCCCATTGGATCAGCTGCCTATAAAAGCAAGTCTTCACCCATCTTCTTCACTTGACGTTTTATCAAAAAGAAATCAATATTCAAAGCTCTCATACTATTC